CTGTTTGATTTTAACTGGTACCGTTCCTTTTGGTACTATATTTTATTCTTTTATACTATACTGTGCTTTATGGCAGCGTATTTACAGTTTGGTCTTTTTACCTTGTTGAATTTCGGAAATTTTACTATCTGGCCATTGTAATTTATTTATTCTGGTTTTATATTGCTGGCTAATCGCTGTTACAATAAATTCATTCATTCATTCAGTACCCAGATCACTCACTCACAACATTAATGCCAGTTGCTCACAAAGTAGAATTTTTGCTCACAAGACTCCACAGCTTAGAGGGAGCACTGCACACTGATTTTGGTTTTGTTTTAAAGAAAATATTTTCTGGGTGTTTTTAATAAAATATTCATTTTCAGTCCTTTTTTCAGCAATCAATTAACACATGGTATGGCTAATTATTTCGAAAGCAAGAAATTGCAAGTAGATAAATAGGTACCACTTCAGTGGGAAGGTAACAGCGTTCCGTGCGCCTTGGTGCTTAGTCATGCCGGCCACATGACCACAGAAACGTCTTCGGACAGCGCTGGCTCTTCAGCTTTGAAACGGAGATGAGCACCGCAACCCTAGAGTCGGATTCGACTGGCTTTCGAGCAAGGGAACCTTTACTTTACTTTATGGCTAATTATATCAACCCTTGTTCTTGGGGCGTATGTGTGTATTTGTGACCACTGAAGAAAGCCAATATGTGCTTGGTCTTGTTTACTCTGGCTTTGTTTGTAAACTGTCCTCTTTTAGATACTCACTGAGTCTGACTTACTGTGGTCTTTTTTGTATACCATCAATTTTGAGATACTCATTTGTATTACATATTATATACTGAAGACTACTTAGTTTGCTTATTTTCAGCCCAAAGGCTAATTCAAGGCCAGTGTTCCCTCTAAGTAGAGTTAGTGTGAGCTAGCTCACAGTTTTTTAGCCTCTGACTCACACATTTTTGTCTTAGCTCAGGGAGGATAGCTCCAGAGCAAACTAATTTATACAGCAGCCAAATCACTCACACAACTTTAATGCCAGTAGCTCACAAAGTAGATTTTTTGCTCACAAGACTCCACAGCTTAGAGGGAACATTGTTCAAGGCCTATGCTTTTAAACTTGTATTTTAAGTGTACTATATAATAAATGCATTTTTATCCTTTGTGGTACCTAATTCAATTTTTGATTGCCACCCTCCTCCCATTTTGGTGTGTTCTGTGTCATGGGCCGGGTCGGGCCAGGAGTCCAGAGTCAGGCCAGAGAAGAGACAAAACAGGAGCTGAGTCAAGAGCCCAAGAGAATAGTTCTCCAAAGCGGGAGATCAGGAGGCCAGGAATTCAAGCAGGAGTGGGGTTGGGAGACAGGAAACAAAAGTGGGCATGAGGTTGGCACCCGTGTTCCCTCTAAGCTGAGTTTGTGTGAGCTAGCTCACAGTTTTTTAAGGCTCTGGCTCACACATTTTTGTCTTAGCTCAGGAAGGATGGCTCCAGAGCAGACTAATTTATGCAGCGGCCATATCGCTCACTCACAACTTTAATGCTGGTAGCTCACAAAGTAGAATTTTTGCTCACAAGATTCCACAACTTAGAAGGAGCATTGGTTGGCAACGATGTAAATTGTTACTTCCATGGAAAGCCCAGCCCCAAGCAGGAGTTATATGGGCCTCTGGCAGTGCTACCCTTAGTAGCAGCACAGCTCCTGTCAGTACTCAGGGCTCAGCGCCTGCCTTCCCTGCAAGCGTACATCTTGACAGCAGGTTGCTAAGTCCCTGTGGAGCCGCTCCCTCAGCCGAGCCACTCTGGAGGTGAATCAGGCAGGCTTTCTGCTTCCACCTGCACCTTGTCAGCTGCTGCTGGACCAGGTGTAGGGGTTACTGGCTCTGGCAGTGGCAGTGACAAGCTGTCAGCTCCCTAGGAGTCAGAGGGGGCAACTTCCGGCTCTGGTGAAGCCATCAACTTTGGCTGTGTTGCCAACTTGGACAGAAGCCCGGTGCTTTTGTTGTTGCTAGGCCTGCCAAATCTTGCCAAATCACGGCGGGGGGATCTGCATGTCTTTGCAGAATCCTTGCCGCGGGGACAGTGAGACGCGTTGCACTGCCATCGGCAGGACATGACGCTACGTGTTGCTTTGGCAACGGGGCTGTTTGGAGCCCCGTTGCCAGAGCCACACGTAGTGTCAGATCCTGGCGACGGTGGGTGCAACATGTCTCGCTGTCCCCACAGCAAGGATTCTGTGAAGACCTATGATCCCCTGCCGCAACTTGGCAACCCTAGTTGTTGCCCATGACACTCAGCTTTTAACATGCCTAGAATGTGGAAAATATTCCATCTTTCACTGTCTAGAGCTTTGCCAGACCTAAATGGATAAATTATGTTCTTTACCACAAAGTATAGAAGACAACCAAGAGATTACACACATACATGGACAGGGCGAAGCATGTTTCCTTGAAGGATGAATTTTGGAAGTAGTTGTGGGGAAGGGTCACATTCAAGGAAGAAGGTCTTATGTATCATTGATGTCACTTTGTGGGCTAGAATCACTGATAGACACCAAAGAAGAAGAAGAAGAGATTGGATTTATACCCTGCCCTTCACTACCCAAAGGTGTCTCAGAGTGGCTTACAAACTCCTTTCCCTTCCCCTCCCCCACAACAGACACCCTGTGAGGTAGGTGGGGCTGAGAGAGCTCTTTAAGAACTGCTCTTTTTTCAAGGACAGCTCTTATCAGAACTATAGCTTGCCCAAGGTCATCCAGCCAGGTGCAAGTGCAGGAGTGGGGAATCAAACCCAGTTCTCCCAGATTAGAGTCAGCGCACTTAACCACTACACCAAACTGGCTCTCTCTTGCTTTTTCCTTTATCATAATGGCATATACCAGAGATACTTACTCAGTGCCTGAGGGGCCACATATGGCTCACTGACAAGCTACCTATGTCTCTTCCCCAATGGGGCACCCTTT